CTGAGGATTAGGGTTCAGGACCTTGTTTTTCTTGAAATACCAGACTGATCAGAGCTGCATATGTTCGGGGGAAAGCAGAGGTCGATGGTTCTCTGTCCACATTTTTACTAGATTATTCTTGGACAGAACTCTGGGAGAATACCCTGCAGCTTAAACCATCCCAAGAGTTTTTCATATTCTGCATTATAACCAGCATGGAAAAAAGGCTGTAGTTTATCTATCTGCATTTGAAACAAAAGACTACAGCATCACAGCCGAGTCCCTGGGCTTTGGACCCGCGCTGGAACAGACTGAATTTTGCTCCTTTGTGTTCCATTTACAGTACAGCTGCCCATTTAGAAGCATGAATGCACCTTGATATAATAACCAAATCCGAAGAATGCGTGGCCTAAAGGAGAGCACAGTCAGTCTTCATATCGACAGCTAATCTTAAAGCAAGGCTGGAAACGGTGTGGTGCGTGGAGCAAGGGGCTTGGGGGGACAAAAGAAGGCTGTTCTGTGTCTCTGTGCTGTGTGTTTTAGAAAAAGAGGATGGGGATTTTTTTTTCTAGTTAAAACATTTCACTGCTTCTTCTGTCCTAACCTTCAGGAAAACAAAAACAAAACCGAAACCCTAACCAAAATCTGTTATTTTAGCAAATAAGATGTGTGCAGAAGCACTGTTGGTGAAGATGCCATCGTAAATTAAGGTAATGCTCCCAGTACAGTCACTGAGTTAAGTCGGGGTACAGACTGCAGGATCCGGGCGTTACCTGAGCAGCCTCAGAACAGCACAGTAAGGGTAAGGGAGTTGGCAGATTTGGGGGCCAGACTCTCGTCTCACTTGTGTTGGTGGGATACCACAGAAGCTAACTGAATGTTACTGATGCACTAAGGACTACACATGGATCTTTTGTTGCTAGTGTATCAACTCTCAGGGTCACCAGTGTCCTTCTGAATCCGTCCCTTGCAGAATGGGGCCCTGATCAATAGGCAGATTATTGCCTTTGAAGTGATGGATGGCGATCCTACAACCCCACTGGTGGGCTGGAAGTGAGAAAAGCGTTTTGCCTGTACACAGCGTAATGCCTAAGGACTGGGTCCTTTTATTCCTCTGCTTGATAACATGTCAGTGGACACAACTTGCAACCCCATCACCCATGTATTTTTGCTTTTTAAATTAGGCCACTGTGGAAAATGGTCCGTCCTGTCATTCAAAGCAGGGGGTTACATACCAAAATTGTTTTGGCTTCAGTCTCAGGACTGGAATTGCTTCTCCCCCACAGAGCAGGGCATCTGCTCCGGCCCTCTGGAGCTAGGGGCAAGGCCTGGCTGCTGCCTACGAAATGAAGCCTGCCTTTGGGCTTTGCCCAGTTCTCACCTGCTTGTCTTCCACAGAGCTGGGCCTGCACATCCCTGCCATGGCTCCCCGTCGCCCTGCACGTCAGTGGTGATCTGAGGCGTGGGCTCAGCAGGATTAATGAATGGTGAGAGGTTGCCATCGGCCCAGGTCCCTGGCTCGGGCTCAGCTGCAGACCAAACAGCTCCTGAACCTCCTTCTACCCCCCAGTCTCGTTACGGATGCCGTTGCCATTCAGAGGAGACCCTTGGCAAGCTGCAGTTTTGGTGCTTTTGGCAGGAATGATCCACAGGTTGGTTTTCTAACTAGGCAAATAGTTTCCCAAGTGACAAAAAAAGAGTAACCGGGGCCGGATGCAGACTGAGGAGCCTTGGTCAGAAGCTGACCCGTGTAGCTGTTGTCTGACTCGAGCTCTGGATGCCCAGCATAGCTCTGTCTGTGTTCTCCTCCTCTGTGGCACTGAAGGTCCTCCTGCTCTAATGCCCTGCCCTGTGCTTCTTCCAAGGAGATGTGCTGGAGAGAGGACACACATGGGCCACAGCAGTGCCGTGTGGCACGAGGGAAGGGATTTGCTGCTCCTTCATCATCTGCCTGGCAGAACTGATTTGCTGCCTTTGTGCATTTCTGCCTACAGGAGCTGGCATCATATTAAGGCACTTATCATCGGAGATATGCTAATAGCAAACTTTCAGAAAAATTACAGAGCAACAATCAATGTCTCGTTTGTTTATAAGCAGTCTTTTGTAGTTAGTTTTTTTCCTTCACTTCTGCTTCCCCCTTTCTTAGAAAATGACCACAGGGTGCTGACCTCTCTTCTTGTGCTCACAGAAATCCTCTCTCTCTTTTTTTTATTTTTCCTCTGGCTTTTTTTTTCTCGCGCTATTTTTTAATGCATTTTTGTTTTCTTTTTTACTGCTTTGAAAAGGCTTGGTTTATCCTCCTTCATGCTAGCACAGCTATCCGTCAGCCCTTTTCTACTCGAGTTGTTGCTACTGACGGGCTTCCTTTATTACTATATTTTCTGTGCCTTTTCCCCCTTCTTCCCTAATACAGTTACGTCTCTCGTTTGTCTGTCTCACACTTTTTTCTTATATCCCAGCAAAACATATTCGAGGAGCCACGTACTGTTTCTCTCTAATCCCCTTCTGCAGCCCTCAGCTGTTTCCCGTGCCCTGCAGAGACCGATACCTCTGGTGATGCTCTCCCAGCGCCGCCGGGGCCGTCCCCATCCCCTCCCTCCCGTGCTGTCTCTCTGCTTGGCTCTGTCACACTGGGTAAGCAGCATGACACAAGCCGTGCGCACGGAGTGACAGAGCCGTGCTGCGAGGCACAGCACCGCAGCTCCATGGCCTCAGCTCCTTGCGCTGCCTGAGCGCCGGCAGCGGTGGAGGGTGCAGGAGGCTGCTGGCCAACAGCGAGAGCATCCCTCTGCAGCCAGCTCCCTCCCGTCCTGCTGGAGCCTGGGAGCCCTCTGATGACTTCTCAGATTTTTTTAGCTAAAAACACAGGTCAGGCTCCTGTCTCAAGGCTGGACAAAGGAAGGGGGAACTCCCTTGTTTGTTATATTAAAAAGAAAAAAAAAAAAAAGGCAAAGGACAGGTTCCTAAATGAAGAAAAAAAAATGCTGGGGCAGAAGATGACCGCAACCTCCAGCTCCTTGTGCAAACTCAAGTCACTGAAGAGAGCCGGAGGCAGGGAGTGAAACCTTCCCCCTGCTGGTACCCGATCCCTCAGCCTGCGAGAAGGAGGCATCGGGGCCAGGGTATCTCAGGGAAAGTATTTTGTCAGTGTAAACTGGCGTTCCAGCATTCACATTAACTTTGTGCATTTCTGTTTGCTGAAAATCCCGTCTCAGAGATTTATCTCATTTGAATTCTTTGTAAAAAAAAAAAAAAAGTACAAGCATTCACACAGCCATCTGATGAAGCTTACTGAAGTTACTTGAAGTATACATTGATAGATGTCTAGATATCTCAATATCAATTTGGGTATGGAATTGCTTAAATTATCAAAATATTGACATAAATCCTTGCACAAAATTAGACACTTCTGTTGTGAGTGGTACTTTTTTTGTTTGTTTGTTTTTCTCCTGCTGCCACCAATCAATGCTATCACAGCCCAGCCTAAAGCCAGACACTGGAAGGGGAATTTCCCCCCTAGTTCCTTGCAATAAAAGAAAAGAAAAAGAGAGAGAGAGAGAGAATTTCCTGACTGCAGGAGAAGAACTACTGGGGTAGAAGGTTACCAAGGCCTCTGGCTTCTTGTGTGTAGCTGAAGAGAGTATTCAGAGAGTTCAAACACAAGTAGGAGATCTCTGAGTGCAGGAAACAAGCAACGTAGTGCGAGGTGAGAGAATTAAGCAGAGAGAAGGAGGGCAGTTACCTCCTGTGCATCCATTCCTGGCAAGAGAGGTATCCAAAGAATCCTTGAAAGAGACATCTTACGAAAGCTTCATTATGAGCTCTTGCTAATTTGGGAAATGTCAGAAACGCCAATCTTATTCTCCACTCAGCTGTCGGGCTCTGTGTGTGTCTCTGACCGGATGGCACTTTCTGATAAATGTCCTGGCAGAACGGCATCGCTTCAGTCTAAGTGAATAATACCTGCACTCTGTTCGTCACATAACAAAATCTCGGTATCGTGTCTGCTGCCATGGGGCGCGAAGAGCCCTGCTTGGTTTGTGCTGCAGTGGCTGCAGACTGGCACCAGCAAGACCCATTCCTGGCCCTCAGCACCCACAGGGGATTTGTGAAGTACTTGTTCTACTTCAGTGCTGGGAGATGCTGGAGGCATGCAAACAAATGCATAGGATTTGAAGTTTTCCCCCCTCTAACAACACAAATATTGTCTCAATGTTCTTCCAGAGCTTGCCTGGTGGTGGTGGGGGTGGGATTGCACGGGGTGCTCCCTCGTCCATGCAGTCAGCCCCTTTCCCAGCAATGCCGTGTGGATCCCAGGCTCAAAGGGCAGCTGAAATAGCAGCCTTGGCTGCAGCTGCTACCTGGAAATCCGGCGGCCGTTGTCTTCCTTATTTCATCTGTCGCTAGTCAGCTGGAAAGCACAGTGACCTATGAGTAATGTGGCCGTTCCAAACTCATGCTGATAAAACCTTTACGCTACCTCCTCACACCATCTCTCCCTTTCTATCTCCCGGAGATGTTCTGATCCAATCTTGACTTCCTTTGAGGTAGGGCATTCTGGCTTAATGCCCTACCCCCCATGGAGAGTCAGAGAGAAATGATTTTGAGTTTGTTGTTGTTTTTTTTTTTTTTTCTTTTTTCTTTTGTTTTTGCCTGACAGACTTGTCTGCAGAGCTTTTATAGCAGTGAAAAAGGATATGACTCTGTGGCCATAACCCAGGGGCCCTTTTGGACATGGCTCCTCTCAATCCGTGGCTGCTGTTGAGGCCATAGCAGAAGAATTTCCACATCCCAGAATATCAGGGTTGTCATGGGGGCAGTAAAGCACCAAGTATAGGTTGGAGCAGCCCAGAGGTGGGAGATAACAGAGTTCACTTGTTCTTTACTCTCTCCACCTTCTTGACAATATCACATGTATTCTGGCTTCCACTCGGCAGTCAGTCCACTTGGCGTATTTTGGTAATCCTTTGTGTTAGGGATGTCTGTATCATTAATGAACGTTTCTTGTTTGTTCCTTACAGGTCAGCTTCGTGGATTTTATGGCAGACTTCTGCAGCTGAGGGACAACTGTCTGTGGATCTCCAGGTAACTGTCGTTGCTTCTGTTTCTTTCATGAGCTGCTCTGGTTGTTGTGACCTTGTCTTCGATTTTAGGCTGCAGTCCTCATTCCTTACCCCCTGTGTTTGTCACCTCATGATCAGCGTGTTGTCCTGAGTTGCATCTTAGAGCTACTTGGAGACATAAAGTGCAGGATGTGCTGGCTGCCCACTCAGTATGCAGCTCTTGTGTCCCACTGGTAGCCTTTGACCAGAAACCTGCAAGCTGCCTATTCATATCTAAGGGGATTTGCTTGCATTTTATGAAGATATAAATGGTTGAGCACTTACTGGATAAAGAACTGTCTTTCTGTCTGTGTGATCCTGCCATAACTGTGGTTAATGGAAGAACTCAGTGGCAAGGCAATTTTCTTGTCTCTAGAGAAACACTCTCACTTTTTAACTGGACAGAGCCCTCATCTACTTCTCACTTTTTTTAAGGGCTGAGATTTACTTGGTGTTTCTGCCGTAGATTTCAAAATGTTTCATGATTACCTTAGTTTCATTCCTTTCTTTGAGAAACTCAAAATTAAAGTAGGCACATGCTTCAACAGAAACCTACAAAAGAGCGTTGGGTGTACTGGTTTGAAGACCACCATGCCAAACACACTAAGCCCCAGTCCTGCTGTGACACCAAGTCCATGGCAGTAGATTAGTGCGCTGCCTGACAAGGTTGTTCAAGGCCCAGCTTTAACGAGTCAGATGAAAGCAGACTGCTTTTCAGTTTGGCACTCAGCCATCCTTGTTATGATAGTGTTTGTGTTGTAAGCTCCTTGGGGCAGGGACTGTGGCTTTCTGTACATCTTGAGTCACTCCAAGATTGTGGCCAGCATTCTGTGAACCAAAGCTAATAAATCAAAGCCAGCTTTTCCTCATGTGCTTCAAAACCTACTCCATTTTGGAACGAGCAAACCACGTACAGCTCACTGCAGGCTTTGTCAAATTATTCCTCCCCTTCACACTTGGACTCTTCTTCATTTTCCACACACTTAATACTCACCCAGCTCCTTTCTGTAACTGGCAGCTGATCCAATTACACACTAGAGGTAGAAATGCTGAAGTCTTACAGTTCAAATGTGGAATGATATGCATAGTCACTTTGTCACTCAAATCCTTTAAAAAAAAAAAAGAAAGAAAGAAAGAAAGAAAAATCAGACTTGCTGGCCATAATTAAGGGCAGAAAATAGAGCACACAGTTAATATCTCCGTGGTTTGCCAATACTGGGATGACACAAGTACCAATCAGGAAACTGGAGCCATGTGGCTTCCCAGATAAAAACATGGGCTTTTTTCTTCTAGGGCTACAGTTAAATCCAGCTTAAGGTTCTAAATTAAACAAGTCCCGTAACCTCTGCAAGTGCACGCGATCCCTCCGGGTCAGAGCTGAGGTTATTGGCAGGTCAGCATGGTGAGGCTTGTATTCTCTTGCCTTCCAAAAAATGCAATGGCAGAAATGAAGGAATTATGGTCCAACCCCTGGCAGAAGGCCAAGAAGCCAGAGGTGTATGGGCAGCAGCCCCCAGACAGAGAGGCACTGCAAGGGGAAAACCTGAATTATCAGAGGGCATGAAGGTAGGCAGGGCCGTGTCGGGGCATTGTAGGTCTCTCTTGCTACTGCTTTGTGCAGCAAGGCACTTCATGGCAATGAACTCATCTGCTGCTCACGGGCACTGCGATCTCAAAGGCAGGCTACATCTGGGGTCAGCTGGATGTGTTCCGCCTGAGCTGTTTTCTGGAGTCCCCAATTTACTTTTTGTTGCATTAAGAGTACAAAACTGTAGCTAGAGTCAGATGTGGGATCCCAGTGGCACCATCGGAATGTGCAGCTCTTGAGCTATGCAAGTTGCCTGTGCAGTTGTGCCGAGAGGGAGCTTGTTTTTTTAGTGGAAAGGATCCCACACACTCATCAGGATAATAATGAATCCCAGTAATAATGAACCATTTTGAATTATAGGTAAAGGTAGGATGGAGACATTGTGTAGTAACAGCTACCCTCATTTGCACTGTTGGCATTTGGCTGCTGTGTGCTCAGAGGGCTTACTTGTGTGCCTACTTCCAGAATTACATTTCTGGAAAATTCTGGTTGAGTTTCTCAGCTGTACTTTTGTTCAGGGTTTTGTTCAGAAAGCCAGTTCATTCAGCAGAATAAGCTTGTAAAACTGCGCAGCAGTAGCCCAGTAAAGCATCTTCCACACTACCAAAAATGTAGGAGCCTGCAAAGCCTCCAAGCTCCTCCAGCTCCCACCAGAGAGCTAGAGCTGAGAATCCCATATGACAGAAAACAAGCAATAATTAAAAATCCCTATTTTGCCCAAAGAATTCCTTTGTTCAATGTATGTAAATGTCTTTGCTTGCTTGTAAGTGATTTCATTTTTGGTAGTTCCCTAGCTCGGTAATCTGAGCTTGGGAATAGAGGAGTCTGAAAGGAGTGTTACACTGAAACAAAACACCTGTCTTTCAGTCAAGACTAAATTGACAAGCAACAATTTAGTTGTCTAAACTCAGAGCTTTCAGGATTTCAGACTACATAAATGTCAAGATGCCTAGGTAGGGCTCAAAGGTGAGCGACAGTGTAGGCAAATATACATTGGAACTTCAATTATCCAAACCCTGATAACGCTCAGTTACCTGAAGTTTAAACATGTCTCCCCTCACTCGTAGTTTCCACATTTTTCTGTAAAATCCCTTTGTACGGAATTGCCTGTGTCTTGCCCAGCATAGTCTGTAAACTTTAAGAGCTCGTCTCCTAAGGAGCTTAGTGTGTCTGCCAGATCACAGCATCCACAACCCCTTTCTGACAGAGCCTATAATTATCCTTTCATGTTACCTGTTACATTTGGATAGAAGTATTAAAATAAATAAATCTTCATTTTCATCTTTGTTGTCTCCAGCTGCATTCCACTTCTCCTTAGGCATGGTGTCACTGGGGCACCCTTCCTCATAATACAGAGCACAGAAACACCATTCCTTTCATAATTTGGCACAGGGAGGTTGTGTCCTCTAATGAGCAGATTGTCTGGACTTCACTAGTTGGCAGAATTCACCATCGGTAAGTTGGACTTCACAGACAAAATCCTTTGCTTTGTTACTCTCCTTTAACACCTTTGACATCAACTGATATCTAAGAGTCAAGCACGCTTCAGTATCCATATTTTTGGAGCTTAAAAAATGCTGGGATCCAAATCAAGATCCCCAGAGAATTTTTGCCTTACGTGTCTCCTGTCTGTGGAGACGAGTGGTGGAGGGATTCCTTCTTCTCTTGGCCTTGCTCTTCAGCAAGCAAGCATTGCCCCCTTTATTCTTTAGGGGAGGAATCCGAGACAGCGCAAGGACAGGAGATGCTTCCCAATTTCATCCCCAGTAGCAAGGACACTGGGGGAAAAATCATCTGACTACACCAGTACGCTGAGCAGACCACTCTGAGCAGGAGAGGTGGTAACACGCTCATCTGTGCTATGGTCCCTTTTCAGATGAATGTTCATTAGTGGCACTGTGGAATGAAAGTCGATGTGCAAGTGTTGCCTGCTCTGCAGTGGAGGACTTTTGGGTGGAATGAGGTCTCTGAACATGAAACTGGCAGCATGAGGAAGAATAAGGGGTTTTTTGGCCAGGTCAGGCAATGTCTGCCTTCGCTTTAGCTGGAGGCAAAGAGCTTGATCCTACCAGAACAAATGGCATAAGACATAGAGGATCCAGCATTGCAGAGGAAAATAAAATCCTTTTCTCCATTGAAAGCAGAATTGCGTAAGAGAACTAGAAGGCAAAATGCAGTCCAGTTTCATCTGTTGCTTTGACTGGGAATGAGAAGAGAATTAAACTAAATGGGGATATTGTAAATTCTGTGGTAAAAAGAAATCTCATTCTCCTGGCAGCAAACTAAGATTGCAAAGAAAATATAGCAACAGGAGACAGTCCAGAGAGTGCCCATTTCAATATTTAGGAAGTCCCAGTGTCTTAGGTGTTCCGTGGCGATCAAAATTTGAAATAAATTAAAGTTGCATTTTAATTGAATTACACAATGACATCAATTTAAACATGAGTAAACAGATGCAATTTTGTGCAATGCTTTAAATTACATTTCTCACATATGCATTTAATTTAAATTTATTGAGATGGTTATTTATGTTAATAAAATAATTAAAAGCAGTTATTTAAGAGTAACTATGAAATAGCTGTGTAACTACCTATATTAATAAGACAGTTAGTTAAGGGATAATGTCTATTGCTTTATAGTGTAATTGCAATAAACAGCTGCTGAGTTTGATTAAGAGCTGAAGTGGAGCTAAAGTGTTTGAGCAATCTCAAAAGCTATTTGTTGTAAGTGTACTACAAAGCAATAGCGATTATTCCTATTATACAAAAAGCCATAGCATAAACATTAAAATATATTAAAAGTCCTTAGTATAATGCTTTTTTCTTGGGTTATTCAAGCATCTCCCTGGGAACGGTGGGGCTAGAGAAGGAGAGGTGGGGCTTTGGTGGAGAAGAGGCTTTTGGGGGGCAATAAGGTGGTTGAACACAGTTTTGTTCATATCGTTATTCCCCCCTGAGTGAGAGTACACCTAACTGCAAGGAAGGGCACCGTCTGTGTTTGTGGGCTGTGTTTTCTCAGAGGTGGCACCATTAAAGAATCTTAGGTGGATCCCTCTCAAACTTTGTAGGAAAATTTCAGCGTTGGCCTCAGGTCTGACCTAGGAATTTCTCCAGCTTTTTGTTGGAATGTAAGAAGGGAGAGCTGAGCATATAGTACAAATCCTTCTGCAACTTTGTCTATGAAATGGCTGCTGCCACTCCATAACTCCATCATTAACACATGAAGCAGACGCTTCCTGGTCCCCAAGCGTATCCTGCTTTATGGCACTGACACATACCTAAACCACAGACCATTAATTTTCAGTGGGATCAAGTAAGCAAATAGGCATTGCTTGTATCGCAGTTGTTATTTACAAACTCCATACTCTCCTGCTTCTGGGCAGTGGGATTGTACACGACACTTTTGCCTTTAAAATTTCTGCTCTATTAGGGTGCCACAAGTTTTTTAGCAAGTCAGGAAGGAGTTGCTTAATTACTTAAAAGCTGCCTTATTTCACCTTTTATTTGAGAGCAGCTCTGAATGGTAAACTCTGACACATTGATTGAGGCACAAATGGACAGATGCAGTCAGCTGCCTCTTGCTGCTCCTAGTTCAGGCACCTCTGTGCCTGTATTAAAAGTGAAAATCTCTCAGAGACCAGACGTGCTATGAAATGCTGCTAAGCAAAGATTTTACCAGTAGAGATTTTGCACGTTTATGGTTTTGTAGTGAACTAGGTTAGCCAAGTCCTGGAGGAAGACTTGTTGGGAGGGTAAGAACATGTCCTGTGTGATCAGGCCCAGGTCCAAACCTCTTCTCATGTTATTGGCTCTTGGGAATCACCCACCTCCTCGCTTTCCACCTGGGGGAAGGGCAGGTGCTTCTGTCCCGGCAGTGAAGCAAGCTTAGGGAAAAATTACTGAAGTCCATTTGGTCAAAACCCACCAATTCATTCACATCCAGGTGGTAGAGTTTTCGCATTAAAAAAAAACTGTAAAAACTTCAAAGAGCAGGAAAAAAAAAGGTGCTACTAGTCTATCTGTGCTCATTTCCTCCCGTCATGCAGTCTATCCCACAGGAGATATGCTACCTTTGGCTAACCAGTCATGTCCAGGATTTCAAAAAAGCCGTCCAGCTTCGCAGAGCCTGGTGCACAGCAATTAACCCTGTGCCAACCCACTGCTAACCGCTGTGGGAAGGCTTTGGGTCTGCTGTGGGAAGGTTTTTGGTTACGGCAGCCAGCGTAGGGGCGGTTCGGTACCGAGGGTGCACCAGGAAGGTGCTGCTGCTGCTGGGATCTCCCCAGAGCAGCCCCTGGGTGCCTGACTGGCGAGCGGGACCCGCTGTGCTCCGGCGGCTGCTACCTCGGGAGGAGCTTAGGCAATGGCAGAGAAGCCCACCCAACATCCTCGTCTTGTTAAGCTGCTGGGGCTTGCAGCCCTTCCTAACTCTGCCCTGGGGAAAAACTGTGTAACAATGGATAAAAGACTTGGGCCTCCCAGCTTAGTTACAAAGGATTCTCTTCACTCATCCTCTTAGTGAGAAATCCAGTTGAATGCTTTTTGAAATCTTTCAAATATTAAAAATAAAATAAATCTTCTTATTCCGTTCCCCGGCGAGATTCTTGACTGCAGTGCCATGTTGTTGTGCACTTCAAGTCCTTTAAAATGTCGCAAGGACCCCCGTCAGTGCTGTGGCTGCAGCCAGGTACAGGGAGAAAATGTTATTCAGTTCTTTGTGTGCCTTCAGAAAGTTGAAGGCAAAAAGCCCTTGAGCACTGAGAAGGGGAAGGTACAGTGGGTATTAAAATCACTGCTACCAGGCTGCAGGAGGCTTATCGCTACTAGCTGCCTTGGTTGGGATCTGTTTTGGAAAAGGGCTGGAGAAAGCCGTGGTGTTTCAGCCAGAGCCAGGGCAGTACTGCTTACCTCTCACCTGGGTGCCTGAATCATTGCCGTGTGCTGCTCAGAGCAGTTACTGTGGAAAATACTTGGCAAATTGGTTGTGAAAAGAACTGAAACCTGTTTTTGGCTGCCTGAGAAGCTGGTTTGCCTTTCCTTTTTTCCTCTTCTGAAATGTTTTCTGCTCTCTTCCCGTATTGCCAAAGTCCACCCAGAAATGCCCTATTCCCTCTTTGCATGTGCTTTTCAACCCAGTGGGGCCGAGGTGCTTCAAACCCCCCTGAGGTTACTTATGATCTGACAGGGCTGGGAGGATGCAAGCTGTCCCTGGCTGCTGTCATGAAGGGACTCGTGAAGTGACCTTGATACCTGCAGTCTTAGAAGTCATTTTTCTTTGCAGAGAAAGCTTTGACCAAAACATCATTGTCGTTGTTTGGTAAGCAAAATCTCTTCATGGGAAGCTCTTGCAAGCAGAAAAGTGGTTTCTTCTCTCTGCCTTGCAATCTTTCTCCATCCTCCCAAGGAGCTGTTGAATATTCAGCATCACCTGATTTTAAACTCTTCCTTTAAAGTCTTTGGAGCCTCTCAGTGTTACCAGAGGTCATACTGGTAGACTACCCTGGGTTAGAGCACACAAGAACCTGAATTTCTTAACAGTAGCTGTTTTCAGTAAAGTATATGTTTAGCTTCATGTAAAAAACATCCACTGGCCCTGTTAGATTTTTTTTGACATCTCGCTATCTCTGAATTTAGCTTTGGTTCATTAGTCAAGGAAATAAACAGCCACATTTCTTATTATTCACACTATCACAGAGTGTATTCCAAGCCTATACATATCCTGTAGCTTGTTAAATAATTCTTTATCCTTTAAGAAATTCCCATTAATCTCTGACCAAGAAGAGCAATAATAGGTTAGTTAGTCATCATATATAAAAATCTGAATCATTTTTACAAGTATCTTTAATGGCTTCCATTAATTACGTGTCTTCATAAAAAAGCTACCCCTCTCAAACACAGCATCCTTTCATTCTTCAAGAGGATCTAATTTCTGAAATAACTGAAATTAAGGCACTGATGCTTTGTTTGGGCAAATTAAGCAGAAAAAAATACTTACACATCTCAAGCAGAAGGTACAAGAATCATGTTCTATTAACTTGTCAGCTATCTTCGTATTATTAGCAACATTTTACAAGTCAACCCAGTGGACTGCTATGATTAGTGCTACGCTGACAGCAAGATACTCCGTGCCTACTGGGTTGGGATTTTAGCAGCAGCCTGGGTGAAGATGAAACATCTCCTGCTCTGCTCTTTGCTTTGCCCCATGTGTCCTGGGCTCAGGTTTCGTGGCATCTTTAGGGGCAGCTGATGTTTTTGCCTATCATTTCTCTGAGTACATGTAAATGCACATCTTCTGGGGGACGAAGTGGGCCCATCAGAGGTGGAGCTGCAGGCAGGACCAGTCCTTTCAAGGGCAGCTCAGGCTTCTGGCGGATTAAAGAGGCTCTGAAACCACGGCCAGGAACATTACATCGTTCATTCCTTTTTTCTTGTTCTTTCTTAATTTAAGTATTAATT